CCAGCTCTTCAGCCAGCCTCTCATTTTCGGCGGCCTTCTGCTCCAGCTCTTCAGCCAGCCTCTCATTTTCGGCGGCCTTCTGCTCCAGCTCTTCAGCCAGCCTCTCATTTTCAGCGGCCTTCTGTTCCAGCTCTTCAGCCAGCTTCTCATTTTCAGCGGCCTTTTTCTCAAGATCGTCTGTGAGTTTTTCGTTATCTGCGGCTAGCTTTTCCAGTTCATCAGTGAGCTTCTCATTCTCGCTTGTGACTTTTTCTATCTCCTCGATCTGTTGTTGATTCTCAATATTCATCTTTTCCAGTTCAGAAGCTTGCCTACCGTTTATCTCGTAAAGGTTTCTAATCTTGTTGTTAGCGGCAATACATTCTTCAGCTTTTGCGCGGTGTTGATCAGTGAGGTTCTTATTTTCTGCCGCTGTTTCCCTGAGCTGGCCATGAAGTGTTTCTTTATCGTCATTGAGTTGTTGCAGATACTGCCGCAGTGTATCGTTTTCCTGCTGAAGCTGGTTGCTTCGTTGTATCTGGTTTGTGTACTCGTCCATTGTAACGGAAAGTAGGGGCTCTCTTATAATATCTTCCGGATCCACTTCATCCTCAAGGCTCGTGCCTATTACGCTTTGTGGCTGTAGTGTTGGTTCCAGCGACCTTGCTTCATGTGCTATGCGCCTTTTGTGGCGATACGCATTTATTTCCTTTTGCTGTCTTTCAGTTAATTCAATCAGCTCGTCTTCGTGTCGTTCCTTCACATCAAGTGCCCGAGTAACAATATTGTGATTATGTAGCGCATCCTCAAGCTGCTGCTGAAGCTCATTTATCTCTTCGTCGCGCGCTTCGATGCTTGCTAGTGCCTCCTTCTCTGAGGCCTTTAGAGAATCCAATAGTTCACTGAGCTGATTTAAGTTGTTCATTAATTCCCCGCATTCTGCGCACTTTATTTCCAATTCATGAAGTATATCGGCACGTGCTTTTGTGGCGTCACTGACGGATTTTACTGCCATTTGTAGTTCCTCTTTCAGCTTCTCATTCTCCATCTCCACACTGTCCTTCTCCTGCGCCAGTGTATTCAGATGAGCAAGGAGGTTGACGTGAGTTTGGTTAAGATCCTCAAGCTGAGTATGCAGCTGTGCTGCTTCTTGCTCGGCCTGCTCGCACTGCTTCATCTGTTCGTGGAGCTCGTCCAGGGTTACGCAGTACAGCGGCTCCGCGGTGTTGTCTCCCCTAAATGCTGATAGATTACGTTGTGTGCGTATCTGATTTGCCTGGTTCTTTTGCAACTTAAAAAGTTCCAGCTCACTGGCCTGCTTGTCAGCAAGGTCCTTTAGCTTCTCAACCAAGTTGCGCAAGCGACCAATTTCAGCGTGAAGCTCATTGTTGCGCTGCCGCAGGGCCTCCTGCTCCCGCAACGTTGATGCTGTCTGCCGACGGAATTCCTCGGCCGATTTTTCCAGCGTGTACTGCAACGAGCGGTTTTCGTTGTGAATCTTGTCAAGAAACATCAGCAAATCACCAATCTCGCTTTCATACGCATCCTTGTCGCCAAGACGAGCACATACTTTCACCTGCTCCACAAACTCGTCAAAGTGCAGTCCATGGAACTTGTTCTCCGGCATGTCAAGTGCGCGGCACATCTCCACAATGGCGCGGTCAAGAGCCACCTTCGGGCATTCAAGATCTTGGTAGAGACGATTCATCTCCCGCGGTGGAAATTCGCTCAGACGTTTATCAACCTCTCCTGCGGTCTGCCGTGCTGAGTGCTGAACGTTGAACGAACTAAGAAGCGCATCAGGCTCTAAATGAAATTCAACGTTCTGGATACAATCATTTGACACGTGACAAGCAAGAGCTTGTTCAGACTTAAATGTTGCCAGAACTTCCTCTGGCTTATTTGTAAGTAACGCCTTCCAATGTTTTCCAGGGTATTTCTTGGTATGTTTTGTGGTCACCGTCGGACCATCTTCAAAGCTCCACCGTTCGTCATGCTTCTTTAATTCATCAATGGTGTCTTGAAGCATCTTAATCTTCTTGGAAGTTGCACTGTCCTGAGTCTCGAGAGCTGCTCTATCCTGATTACGAAAAACGTTACGAGTGTAGTGTTCTCGCAAGTTTAGACGCTTTTCTTCGAGCTCAGTGGTATACATAGAGAGACAGTGAAGCTCCGCCATGGCTGCCATGTACTCATTCATTGTTCGCGAGAGTTGAACCTTCAGCTGAAAGCGCATCCACGTTGCATTTTCATAGATAATTTCAACCTCATCATCAGTTAACGCGCAGTCGGTTACAAACAAATCAATAGGCACCAGTGAAATAACAGCCGAGAGAGGAATTGTGGATTGTACAGATGTTTTGGTAAACGATGTCACCTGACCCCTGGCAGCTAAGGGATTTTCGCGAGATAACTCCTCCTTCAGCTTAATGACCTTCATACGGCACGCCTTCATCGCGGAAATAGCATCGCTAATACAATCATTTTGCGCCTGTACACGCGTGTCTGACGTTAATTTGCTGTGTGCTTCTTGGTACGCCAAGGCACTCATTACCCACTGGTGCAGGCTCCTGATCGCGTCAGAATCCCGTGCAGCTGCAGCAGAAGAGAAGCGCGGCCCCTGTAATGACGAAATAATATCATCAGGGGTTGGATAGTAGTGTCCAAGGGCATCCACGTGAATAAAATCCATGACAGCATCTGGTTTCCTGTACTCCATTTGAATGTCGTACCATGACGAGCAGTCCTTGACGGCAGGGTCATTCTTGGCCACTGCAAGCACCGCCTTTAAGACCTCCATAGCCACCGGCGAGGGACGAGCCTGTGACGTCACCTCACGCATATGAACCTCATCAACCTCCTCCACCTGCTCCTTCGCCAACTCATACAACCTCCTTGCGGCAGAGACGCGATCCTCATTTTCACTGCGAATGGCAGCCAGCTTGTCTCGTGAGTTGGAAAGTCGTTCTTGGAACAGCTTCATTCGTTTTGTCTCCTTTTCAATTTCATTTGTCACGATATTCCTGAGTGCCGCGTTGTCGCCCTGATTGATGCGCCACTGCTGCACAACGGCACTGTACTCCTTCAATGAGACCACTGTGCCAAGCGTCCATTGCCAGTGCTCGTCATCAACAAGGTAGTCGTACGCCACAGTTTGACCAGTCTGCAGATTTGGCGTATCCCTCTTGAGGGCACTGAGAAATGCCATGGTTGCGCCTCTTTCCCCCACCGTATGTTTTCCTCTTCCTTCTCTACCACGAGCCAGTTGAACCAGTGGTTAACTGGGCGGTGATTCAGGTAAAACGCACACACACACACACACACACAAATAAACTTTACAGCAAACGATGAAACACCGACACACCTCTTTGATTCACTTTCGATCTGGTCACAACAATGCCGCCACACCCACACAATACAAAACAAAAAAGGTTGCCGAAGTCAAATGGGCAAAGAACTCAAAAAAAAAAAACAACAAACAAACAAACCGTGAAACACTCGAAAGGAAGTACAAAATCAAATAAATAAGGACAAAGTTTCAAACACCTTTTGCTTTTTGATGTCCCCCTGTATATTCTCTGTCGCCCCTTCCCACTGTTGTTTTCCCTCTCTATGCGTGTTTGCACCTTTTATTTTGTTCTCGATCAAACTCGACTTCTATACTGTTTTTGTTTCCGTTTTTTTTTGTGAACTCAATCTTCCTTTTGTCGACCACCCCGCAGAGTTACTGGTGGCGGATGCTCTTCTCGTGGTTGCCTCTGCCTGTGGTGCTCGCCTTGTTTGTCTCGCAGCTAAACGCTAGTATAGGTGTATGTCACAAAAACACACAGAGATATGTTTATTCCCTCCTTTACGTGAGGTTGACGCAGATGCTCTGTTACTCACGCTGGTGGCAAGTGGCAGCAGTAATTACAAGAGAAGTATTGATGGCACAGATGAGTTCTAGGGACACTTCTCCGTCCCTCTTCCTTCTCCTTGGCGCCTCACGCTGTTCCAAGTCGCCTAAGCAAAGTGCCTTCTTCTATCCCTTCGCTTATCCTCCTTTTGTTCCCCTTCTCTCCGCTCTGCTGCTCTCCCGCGTTTTACCTTTAATTCTTTCCTACTTCGCTTTTCAGCTAATGTCAACAAATCGTATCTCTCCTCGCTAGCACCCCAAACCCAAATCAAAAGCAACCCCCCCCCCAAAAAAAAAATAATAATAATAATATATAAATAGATAAATAAAGAGAAGAACGGGAACATAGACACAAAGGTGATAGGTGGCACCAAGGACAACTTGTCAAGAATCAAAGCAACGCACAGCAAACAAGCACAAACCCAAACATGAAACACTCTCAACGCAAAACCCGGTAACACTGCATCAACTAAAAGTTCTACATCTCTGCGCGCAACGAATATAACATAAACGCTGTACCAGCTCTTGCAGAGCCACTCCGATGTGCCAAAGCAACACAATAAAAGAAATGGTCACTGGCAAGATTCTTCGCAAAGAGCAGCATCCATCGACACCGCGACACGTCTGGAAGTCCAGTGCAGAGAACAGACAGCTAACTATAGTTCTCATAGTCCAGAAATCCAATCCTAAATAGTTGCATATATTATTTTCCTATTCCTTGTGGAAATGGTTTGTATCCGTGTAATTTCTCCTCGTTTTTTTTTTTAAATTGCTTGCCTCTTGGAGGGTAATCCCCTTCTCGATCACCTCATACCAAATAATAATAATAATAAGCCTCGCACTGCACTCATTCCCTTTCGCTCCTTCTTCACAGATAGCGCTGTCTCGCTGTACTATGGAAGGATGCTCCACAACCCATCATCCAAGCCTCCTCCAGACGGTCCCAATACAAAATGCAAAAAACAACAACATTAACAAGCCTTGCAAAGACGCAAAATAATAATAATAATCATCATCATCCCATGCAGTATGGGCACCACTACAAAAAATAATAATACATTGTGCAAGTGAAGGAAGCCATTGTTACCTCAATTCACCAGAATCGTCGCGAATATGCTTAGTTATCAGGCATAAAACGAGTATGCCGCCGTTGACCTCGTTTTCCGAGCGAAACAATACTTCTTAACTCATCGCAGCATGCCATCAAAACACATTAGCTCTGCCGCTCGAGAAAAAAGCCCCAACATACAAAAACCACAAGGTCTGTCGCTGCCAGCAGCTCAGCCAAACCGTCATGCGTAAAAAACAAAAACAAAAAAGAAACCAGACGCTAAATGAGGTCCTGCAACGCGAGCCGACATGCAGAAATAATAATAACAAAGAGAAACCACCTGACCCGTAGAACCCAAGACCTCTATTCAAAGAAACTACATTACCAACGGAAAAACGCATACGCCAACTAACTCACAAGACATCCCGCAATAACAAGGCCAGTCCTACACTAACGAACAGGCAGTCTCTGGTGGCCCAACAAACGCTTGTTCTCCACGCACAGTACCCCAGCAGCGTTTTACGATGAAAAAAAAAAAGTAATAATTAAAATAAAACGTCAACAACTAAATAACCACCACATTACTCTGCAATAAAAAGTGGCCAGCAAAAACACACACACAAATAAATAAAATAAAAAATTAAAAAAAAGTTTAAACCAAGTCGCGCTAGAATTCCCCTACACCACATCTGAGCACGCTTTGTTTTCCTTTCACAAGTTTGTACGGAAAACAAAGAAGCTTGGAGAGCACTCTCAACCTCTTCATCTAAGCGGCCCCAGAAGCCAGAGAGCCACCTTCAAAGAACCAAAAGACGGCTCCACCACACACACAATCATTGCCTAGTTAAAAAAAAAGGAGGAAGTAAACAAATACATAAGACCAACACATGTTGGTATCGCATCAGGATTTCGTCATGACCCGTTCCAAAAGTGCCATATTGTAGCCAAGATTTGGAATGCGTTTCTGATCTCCACGACCGTAGGCCTGGATGCGCCGTATGCGGGCTGCATCCTTCACCCAAACATCCACAGGAATCGTGCCATTAAATGGCTCATTGTACCCACCGCAGCACATGCCCGTACGCCCCCATTTCGCGAGGGCGTATTTATAAGTTGCCCCCAATGGTTTGACACGACGGAACCAGATAGCTTCCCTTGACT